GAAAGAGGAAGCTGGGGAAGAAGAACTTGAGTAGCTTGAGCTCAAGGATCTGAGATATCATCACCATTTAGAACTCATTTGAGGTAAAAAGCTTACAACTTGCCTCATGTATGCTTAGATCTATGATAATGGTGTTTTGGACCTTTTTGGTCCCAAGAATGGATTTTTATGGTCCAAATATGTTTCTAGGCTTAGGGTTGCCACCCTTAGTGCTATATGAGTCCCAAGAATAGAAAAGTTTCCATCTTGAAGGTCTTATTGTGGTCATGCATGAGTTTTAGTCATTTTCATGGAAGTTAGTTGCCATATTTCAAGTTTGGGTCCATTTGGTGGGTTGCAAGCCACCAAGTAATCGACTTTATGGGTTAAGACACTTTATTGGACTCAGATCTGTGTTTGGAGCTTAAGGTCTTGTGACAACCCGAAACTTCGTCCGTTTCCGTTACTCGATTTCCGTTAATAAAAATTCGAATTCATTAATTTTTCCGTCAAACTTCTTGGTTTAGAAAATAATCTAGTTATATATAATTAAATTATTTACGAGTCGGAACCAAAAATCGCGCGGGAACCCGAATATCTCGAAAAACCAAACATTTCCGGTCTAAGTGAGGTTACGACCGTAAACTAGTTTACGACCGTAAACCCGTTTACGACCGTAAACCCGTTTACGGCCAGTAAAGAGTGGACCCCACCACCGACCACAAAACCCCTATAAATACGAGACCTCCACCTTCATTTGAACATTTCTGGCCAAAAACTCCCTCCTTCTCTCTCTAAGAACCTTGACCGTAAACACCTAAAAACACCTTCAAACTTCGGGAAACATCGAGAAACACCGTTTGGAGTCACTTCGGAACGTCTGGAAACGCTTATCTCTTCGAAATCAGCACCATTGTTCTTGAGTTTACGGTCTATCTTCAAAGACCGTAAACACTGTTCTTGAGTTTACGGTCCGAGCCTTCAAAGACCGTAAACCCTGTTCTTGAGTTTACGGCCGTAAACTCACCAAGCCTTCAGAAACCGTAAACCCCACTTTACGACCGTAAACTGTCTGTTGACCGTAAACCCTAGTTCACGGTCGTAAACACCTTTTAAGTGGTGTTTTTGGCTGAAAACCCACTTTCATTGATTCGATCAAGTCCCGGTAACATTCCTCAACCGAATACAAGTGTTCCTCTAACACGTTATCTAACGAAATCGCTAATTTAGATACATATATGTATTTATTTGATAATAGGATTCCGTTAAGTGTCACGTGCAACAACTCGAGGATCTTCATTTCAGTCAGCGATTTCACGCAAGAACTGTGAGTTCATACCCCTATATTTTCCATATTTTTAATGTTTTCAGGGGGGGGGGGGGGAATACAAGCCAAACATAAATGTTTTCAAAAACTCATGCGAACCTCATACTTTAACCCTTTTGCACTGTGTTGAGCATAAGGGACGTTTTCACTAAAATTGCATAGTTTTTCCGGACACGCTATTCGCTACGTTTTACATGCAAACTATTATCGGTATAGTTTGGGATTTTTCTAAAATATATCAAGTATAGAAACTTTCACTACTAAACATATGCACTAAGACAGAAACCGTTTACAGTTTACATCACTACTTTATCATGGTATTCATAACTGTAATTATCACTATATACGGTATACATACAGATTTCCACTACGGTAGAACGCTACTACACTACATGTAAACTAGATTGTACGATACTGTGAGGCGCTACTTCACTACTATACCCTTAGGTGTACAGGGATAAATCCTATCATAGTATAACCAGAGTCTCCTGGAGGGAGAGTGTGATATTTGTGAATAGATCTATTCGGGACTGACAATCCCACATCTGGACTGCTAGCTACAGTTAGGCGGGCACGCCTGAGATGTACAAATGTCATTTAACTCGACGCCTGTAGAACGTTGGAAAGGTCTCTAGTCATATCAAGCATGGTTATACGACTCACAATATGTATAAATCACCTTTAGTTTACAACTTAACACTCTTCAACAGTTTTATTTACATTAAATAGAACTAATACACACTACAACTGGAGAACTTTCAGGCTTTTCAAACAGAAACGAGCATACAATGGTTTCACGCACGAAATGCTATTACATCATGATTAGCATTAGCTAGTCACATGAAGTAATAATTTTGCATATCACTACAGTTTTCAGTGACAAACATTCATGGTTTTATACAGAATTGAAATCACTACTTTCTCACTAAAGAAAATATCGGATTTTCTTGGAATTATACAAATATTTTACGAACTCATCAACGATTTTCACTACAAATCACCGCTTATGAACTCACAAGCTTTATGCTGATACTCTTTCAAACTGCTTGTATTCTCAGGAAATCAGTAGACAGGTACTTGCTGGATTTTCGAGGAACTGGAGCAATAAGAGTTTTAAGTTTATACTATACAAAGCTATTGAATGTAATTCAAACAACGTTTCAAACTGATGTAAACATTTTTATTTTAGTATTCACTGTACTGGTTGTGTTGCTATGATTGTTATTATTCATTGGTTGTGATGCTACACATGACGTCCTCCGCCCCAGAACGTTTCCGCCATCGGTTTCGGGGTGTGACAGGTCTTAAGGGATTAAGCCTTTTTGGAGATTTTGGCTTAATAGGGTTGTACGCTGGGCGTACAAGCCCGTACGCGCAGCGTACAAGCCATGCAAGCTGTATGCTTAGCATATAGAGGAGTACGCCCCGCGTACTCACTGGATTAGGGTTTCGTCATTTAGGCCTCAGATTGGGCCATTCCATGGACCTTGTTATTATGGGCCATAATGGGCCATCAGAAATCAGTTATTGGGCTAAGAACATGTTTGGGCTTAGGGGAAGGCCCATTTGAGGAGTTGGGCCCAATTTAGAAAATTGGGCCATAAGTAGGCCATTAGTGGGCTTGGAAAGGCTATATAGAATTGGACCATGTATGTTATGGATTTGGGCTTTAATCATGGACCAAATTAGATTAGGGGCAAAATGGTCATTTTACCCTAAGAAGGAGTATTGGATTTTGACTAAGTGTTATTTTGGTAATGTTAGCTCGAGGAGTCGTCGGAGCAGCCGTTAGAGATTCGTTACCGTGAGATTCTGCATTCAGTTTTGCGAGGTGAGTTTCCTCCTGTAGGAACGGGTCGAAAGCACCAATGCCGACCCGTTTATGTATGCTAGTATGTCCGGACTAAGGTCCGATGTCGGGCATTGCCCAATTTAGGAACTTTATTCTCAAATGATTTTCATTGACCTATTGCGATGATACGTCAACACAATTAATTTGCCCACAGAAACTACGGCAACGGGCATGGTATCACAACCGGTTCCAACAGCTGCAAAATTGTTGCGACCGCTGCCCGTCATCGTAGTTGAGGTACAACGTCGACAATTTGACATTCAACAAGCTATTTCTTGTAGCGATCTTAGTAGCAGAGATTGATTGTTGTTATATGGAGAGCTTTTACATGTTGAAGGCACGAATCTTAGTCAAGATCCCAGTACCAAATAATTGTTCTGAAGTCATACAGTAACAAATATTCTTTGACTATGATGAAAAGTTGATATACAGTAACATTACTTTATAAAAAATAGAAAAAGTTTATTGAAAACTAAGACGTCAATGTAAAGTTTGAAAATGATAAACGAAAATATTCATCTGACTTGTCATTTAATGTTAGCCAGAGATATTAAGTTGTTTCAATGTTTTGTAAAATTTAGACACTAATGTGTTTTTCTGTTCACTAGTAGTATTTACTTGAAAAATAGAATTTTTAATCTTGTTTAATTACGTTTTATTGTTTTCTTATTAATATAGATTGGAAATTAAATATGGGAAAAGTTACTTGGAGTGGTTGCATAGAGACGATGATGCCATGCATGAGGTATGTTCACTCCACCTTGTTTGGTGTCTTGTATATATTATTCAAAATATGAATGTAGGGCACAGATAATTGAATAAAAGTTAATTTGTTCATTTAAATTAACATTAAGTAAAGTATATTAATTATTCAAATACGATGAATATAAATTTATGAAGAAAAGCCAATTTTGCAAGATAATATGGCAAGATAACCTTGATAGAAAAAAATTAGCGAGGATTCATTTTTAGGGGGAATTTCATATATACCCCGATTAAACCTCAAAATATCATATTTGCCCACTTTCATTTCTTAATATCATATTTATCCTTCATAAACATTCAAAATATTATATTTGCCCAAATCCTTTTTATAATGTTTTTAATATTTTATAATCATTTTTTATACCTTAGGATTATTATAATAATTAAAAATTTTAACCATATTATCCTTACGTTTATGATAACGGAATGTGAACTTCTAAATTGTTGGAATGTCGTCCTCTTGACAAACAAAAAGATTCATCTTCAACCCTCTCTATAAAATGTATATTTTGATTGTTTAGTTTTTCTTGTTGTTGATTATTATCATGATGTAGATGGAGAATATTTTTATCATGATGTAGATGGAGGATATTTTAGATATTACCATTGACATTTTGATGTTTAAAAACTGCATATACGATATTTTGATATTTAAGAATGACATATATGATAATTTGAAATTTTATAAATTGTAAATATGATATTTAGAAATTTTATGAACGATAAATATGATATATAGAAATTAAGTTGGGTAAATATGATATTTTGATGTTTAAAAAAGACATATATAAAATCCTTCCCATTTTGATCAAAAAGTAGTAGGATAAATAGTTTTGTATGATACTCAAATTAAATACATTAACAAAAAATAGAGTTTTCTTTTTTAAAAAATTAAACGATCGACATCGATAATTAATAATTAACTAGAAAAGTGTCCCCCGCTTTGCGGGGGTCGGAAGCCTTCAATGACGTTTTTCCGGAATCCTTCAATGTTGGTTTTTTGTTATAGTTAAATGGTACTGCGTTTAATATTCATTAGCTTCATTACCACGTTTCTGTCAACCGCAGAGTAAAAACTCAATTTCTTTTCAAAAGAAACCCGAAACCAAATTCAAAGCCTACCATACCATATCAAAGATATAGCATACACAAATAGTAATGAAAAACATAAAAAAAACTATAGTCCCTTAGCAGTTCATGGATGAGCAAATAAAACCGTTGATTCAATAATGTGTATGTAATCCCACAACCTCTTTGTTCTCCAATCGATCCAACATCCCTTCTGAGAAGCATTAACCGAAAGAAAGTAAGTACAATTACCGTATTAAACATCTTACTTTCATCTCTTTTTATAAAATCATTGAAGAAGTACATTACTGAGTAGATTATGCAATATTTTTAGAATATAAAGTACATTAAACATAATTGAATTTGATTCTCAAAATACAAGACATTGATAAAAAAATGTTGTAACAGAACAAAATGGAATTAGGATCTTATAATAATAAAAATAAAAAATAAAAACAAATAAAAAAAGTACGTTGCTAATTTTTTTGCATTTCATTAGCCCTAACTTTTTACGGAATTTAAGATCACATATGACATAACGAAGCTCTTTTTTTGCTCCATAAACACAATATAATGATTAAAAACTATTCGTAAAAGAATTACCTCAAAAACGTAAACATGTTGTTGCTGTTGTTGGTGGTGGTGGTGAGGCTGGGCGACAACACCCTCTTGCATTGGGATATTTCCGGGATTCCAATCTCGAATAACAAATTCTTTGGCTCCCCCTTCCAATCCATTTCCAGTAAAAAAAATGGACTATAATTGCAAAGAGATGGGCCTAAAACAGAAATATAGAGAAGCATAGGGAAAAATTGGTAATTTACTCAAAAATGGTTTGATGTTAGTTTGATTGTGTTGTATTCTTTTATTCTTTTTTAATAAAGTTTACTGAGGTTTGGCTCTTTAAAAAAAACAATAATACAGTTGCGGGGTTGTCATAGTGACAGAGGTCCATCAGAAATCCAAAGTCAAAGTCAAAATCAATATCTATACCTATAAAAAAAACTTAGAAAGAATTTTCAATATTATTTTGTTATGAACCGACCTTCAGGCATCCATGATCCTCTGAAAGCATTTCTTCTTATATTGTTACCAATTCCAGTGTAAATGGCAATCACAGCAAGAAACTTTTTGTTAGAAGATCACTTAAAGTGGTTACTAAGAAAAGCTTGACTTTTTGCTAGTGTTATTTCCATCTCAGTTTCCACAATTGTTCTCTCTAAATCCCTGAAAAAGACGATTGTACCCATGAGACAGTAAACACATCAAATTAATTCTAGAAAATAACGCAAAAAAGAAATAGGAAGACCCAAAATTTACTTGCATTCTAGGACCATTAGCTTCTCTTCAACAGTAAGAATCTTTGGTCTCTGCCATTATTAAAAAAATACAAAAACATAGTAAAAATAAGGATAAAAGGTAATCAAGGTATCTTTTTTAATAAATTGTACGAATTCATGATGAATTATCAAGAGTCATAAGTTACAAAAACATACCTGGGAAGAATTCTTAATGAGTAGATTAGATAATAGTGTTCTGTTCTCAGGATGTTGCCACAACCTGGTAAGATGAAGCAAAAACATTTCTCATATCCATTGTCAATTACTGATTATGATGTAATTAGTAATCTTTGATTTAAGAGATGGAAAATGAAAAACACATCTACCATAGCTATCCTGTAGTAACTTATGTAGTTCATACCAATCATCAAATCCCTAAATTATGATTTCAGCAAACAGAAGCCAAATTGCATACAAACCTTCAGAGAAAATAAAAGGATCATAAGTCTTTTTTTTTTTAAAAAAAAAACAACTAATATAAGATTTTCCATATTATATTTTACAAAGTAATCTATAATACCTTTCAAAAATATAGTTTGTACAATCAAAATCTTTGTTGAAATCTACTGTAATCTGTGGAGATTGGATCATGTGCAATTCCAGATTGAAAGTACACCCACAAGCTTCCCTAATACTCATTACTCATTTATTTCTCTATTCCGTTTTCTTCTTTGTTGCCTATCAAACAAACGACACAAACACCCCTATGAATCGGTTAAGAAGCACAATCCCAAACATTTCAAATTCTGTCAACAACAACCCTATCAAATTCTGTCACAAACAAATCCAAACAATCCATTTTGTTCCATTTCTGTTTAAATAAATATAAAAAAACAACAAAAAGAAAAAGAAGAAGAGGATCAGGGGAGCTACCGGAGCAGAACCCATTGACGCACCTGCCCAACCTCTCTCTTTTTCCTCCATCGTGCCTGTCGATTTGAACAACAATCGAAACACCTCTGTGAACTCAAAGAAACTTTTTGTTTGGAACCAACGAAGTGGAGAAGAAGAAGGACCGATGACCTAACCGATTGTGGCGAGCCTCCATCCGACCCTTACAGTTGCTGATTTTGTTTTCTTTTTCTTCGATTGAACATCACAGAACCACCACGGGACCACCAATTTTTCCCTCCTCCCCTTCGCGATCCGCTACCGGAGCAGCCCCTTTCATCCATCACAGTTGAGGCGGAGGCAGGGCAGTGGTGCTTTTCTGGAAGAAGCAAACGCGAAATAGTAACGATGGAGAACCGGGGGAGACGATGAAGAAAGAGAAGTGTATGATTTGGAGCAGAGACTGAACCACGTCCGGCTCCACTGCGCCGAAAGACGACATACAAAACGCAGGGCATCCATGGAGAAGTCGAGATAATGACGGAGAGAGAGAGAGAGAGAGAGAGAGAGAGAGAGAGAGAGAGCCGATACTGGATGTAGAAGGTCCTGGAAGGTAGAAAGAGGCGGTGGAATGTGGATCGATGGGAATGTGGGATATAAGGGTTACAGGGCAAATTGTATTTTAACAAAAGAAGTGGTCTAGATCTGCCTTTAATATATATAAATTAACAAAGTGACACACAAACAAAAATAGAGGGACCGGAAATGTAATTTAAGGGACCAAAAGTAGCCAAAATGTATCAGGTTAACTGTTCCTTTTCTTCGTAACTTTAATATATACTAGTAAGGTTGCCCATGGTTCGCATGGGTCGGAAGGGTTATTGTTAGAGATGCAAAATATTATAAGTTTCACAATCATTTTCATGAAACTTATTCAGCTTTATAGACCATTTTTTGACGACAAAAGTACATTGCTATCTCACAAATGTAGCATAAACTATGTCTATTTCTTGATGCATCCCATTATACCAAATTGCCCCTACAATAAAACAATACAATGTCGTAATAGAAAGTAATGAAAGTAGGGTGACATAGAACACAAATAAATATAAGTATGTTATTATTTTTTGCATTAATGTAATTTCAGAGCCAATATATATGTGTGTAACCTGTACTGATGCATGATTTCCCTTCGACTGTATGCTTCAATGGTTGTTCGTTTCGACAAACTCATAATAGTTAAGACCAACTGCTAACCCAAAAAGAAACAATACATTTAAACCATTTAACCAATTCTATGAATATGAAATTATTTAATGATAAGTGCATTCATTCCATATATGATCATCAACTCTTTCGACTTTAAAAAACATTTTCCTAATTATACCATTGTATTTTTAACTTTATACTTGGAGATTGATTGTAGAAATAACAGCTTACTTCCAGTTACATGTTCATTATAACAACTTACTTTCACGTCATTTCTTATCATGGCATTGTACTAAAAAAAAGTACCCAATTAGAACATTATACTCACATTTCTTTCTTATAAAGAGACTGTTAGTCAATGAATATACCTAATTATAGTAGTGATACCAACAACCATTACACAACTTTATATGTAAAAAAAGTAAGAAATACCGCTAGGCCATGTTTGATTCTTCATTCTTCACTGGTGTCAATATCTCTTCAACCTCAACTAATATTTCCTCATTTTTCTGACCCTTCACAACTTCCATAGCAGCTGCAACATTATCCTGCCCATTATCAAAAAAATAAAACAATCAGAAACCAATTATTACCTACAATTTTACCCCATAAATCCTAAAATCATATCAAGCCTGTTGAACAGATTTCATCCCCACAAAATATGTTCATTACACAAACTGTATTTCATGGATAATTTCGATATATCCTTTCCCTTCTTTTTACAAAAATCAGCAGCTTTACGACATGCATCCTGAAATCAAATCCAAAAAGATTCAAAAACAAATAGAACCCAATTTGATTCATATTAATATATGATATACCTTGAGTTCAGATGAAGCTGGAGGGCTGTTTTCGGTAATAAGTCCCATTGATAAAGGGGAAGCACTGATAACACCAACGATCATGGCTTTTAGATACGGAAGTAGATCGTCCAATGTTGTGTCTTTGATTCCATAATGACAATATGGAAGGATTATAAACAAATGAAAAAATTAGTAGAAAATATAAACAAACAAAAGAAATAATGGGAAAAAATGAAAACTTACATTAAACTCACCATATGTGAAGTTGCTGCATGAAACGCATACCCTTTCTCTCCTTTATATTTTATAGTGACCAAGCTAGAATTTCTTTAAGCTTCGACTCCATTTCTTTAAGTTTCCAGTTACGGTAACTGCTTGTAGCCTGTTCCTGTGATCCCCACGTGCCAGCATTTATGCCACCATTGTATGCTGATGGCTCCTCCATTAGTTTGTCCATTGTGTCCATTTGCTGAACTGTTGTTGTTGTGGGGAATCTGTCCCATAAAGAAATTAAAGCAATAAGTCTAATAAAAAGCAACTTATGCTGATTTTCAGTATGCAATTTTGATATATAATTGGAGCTAGCTTATACTTTTTGTAGTAGTATCTAAACACGCGTTGATGTATTTCTCATCATAGAACAAAATAGGTATGGTCACCGTATATTATATAACTTCAAACAGGAATATGTAAACAACTATACATTAGAAATAGAATCAGAAGTTGAAGAAAAAAGTTGGAAATTTTGATTCTTGATTTGTTCTTTCATCTCATATGTCAAGAATTGAACTTACCCATATCAGAAATGGAAGAAAAATGTTACAAAGATTGATTCTTGTTTTTTTCTTGATGTTACTTTTCAAATCTTCTGTTGGACCTGTAAGAGACATTTCAACAAACATATGATGGGCATACCATAAAGCTAATAAAAAAATCATGGATTTGTAAAGGTCGTTATCTCAAGTCATAATCTGAAACTCCAACCTGAAACCGGAGTTAGTACCTTTTTGAAACTTCATCTATTATGTCTTTGGAACCCGTTCACAAAGCCTTGTAATGAATACAAACCATGAGCTGATAAATATCAAAATCCTTTCAAATGACTTATAAACAAATGACACAAAATGAAGATGGTATTGTTAAATAGCTTACCTGCTTGAAACAAAGGTGGGAGGAAGTTTAGTTGGTTTAAAAACTAATCGGTGACTTTCTCGCCATGTATCCGTTGGAATCGAACCGTTGCAGTGGCTTCTGTGTGCGATGTTTTCTCTCCTGTTGTAGCGTGTTGTATCCCACTTTCATTTGTGACATTTGAAAAGACACAAAAGAGACGACGACGTCTCCACCGCTACCCCTTGTCTTAGTGAATGGGGCTCCGTAGCAGCATGCAGGCGAAACGGACTCTGTTTGGCCTGCTATTAGCAAAGCCATAAGAAGGAGAAAGAAACGACAACCATGGCGATGAGGTGGTTCCCCTCTGTCACTGTCGGCAGCCCAAGGGACGACCTTTGATAAATCGACTTCTAGTGAGAAGTGGAGATCGATCCTAATGGAAATCGGAGTAGAAGTAGAAGAAGCAGTCGATAGGTGGAATAGCGAGGAAATATAGAGTGAGCGGTGGTGGTGGTGAAAGCTTTTTCGGGTGTAACTGAGAAGAAGAATCTGGAGGCGGTGGAATAAAAGAGAAGAAGAAATAGAAAGAAAGAAACGAAGTGGCACATAAAGAAAAATACAGGGACCTAAAGAGAATCTAAGTTGAAGGACGAAAATAGACAAATGTTTGGTACATTTATTGTTCCTTTCATTCAGAACTTTAATATATATATATATATAATATAATAATAAAATACTAATATATATTTGAGTAGTAATAAGAGAGGTGGGGGTGGGCAAGGCCCGAGTTACAAGGCTAAAAAACAAAAAACCGCCGTTACCAAATGTGATGGTGGTAATGGAAAATAACGCGAAAGCCTTTAACATGTAATAACGGGAAGGTGGGGCGGTGTTCATTGGCGTTATCACGTATTATGAGGCACAATAACGGTTGCCCACTCCGAGTAGTCTAAGGCTCTTTTCCATATGTTCACCTCTATCGAAGACCTTTCACGACGATTGGTATATTGATAAGAATTAAGCCCAATTGAGCCTAATGCAAATAAAAGCCCAATTGAAACAAAAGCCTTCCTGATACGTTGATCCTTGTTATAAAAGAAAGTACGTGTTTTTGCGAGAGAAAGAAGATAAATCAATATCTTTAAGAATTAAGAGAGATATAATTATAGAGAGGAATCTATAAAGAATTTTTGGTCGGAGAAATTTTAATTGAAATTAGAGTTTATATGAAAAAGAAAATTTCCACGAAGTCTCAAATTTTTTATTCAATTTATGTTTTAGTTATAAGTTATTTTTTTTTTACGAAAAAGTCTTAAAAACCGGCAAAATTTTACGATTCGACTCTTTTTGACTGGTTAGATACGGTAATAAATTAATTTGAGACTATTTCGTAAACTGACCTAAAATATTGACACTTTTCTGCAAAAAAATTATTAGGACTTTTCTGCAAATAAAACCTTATTATTATTATTATTATCACTTTTAGGATGACAGAACTAAGGGCAACACCAACGTCAAACAATGTCTCCGTAAGGTTGCTGATGTGCATTTTACAGCAGCAGTGAAAGTGTTGTGTTCCTCGGGTGTTGCTTCACATTATCAAAACTTTAGAGGCTAAGCATCCATACAAGCCACCTCCATCCATGCCGAGCACCATTTATTTTGAGCCTCCCCTTATACTAGATATTGACAATGTCTTTGGTTGTATTAAATCGTTTCCTAAAGGAACTTCGTGTGAGAGAGACGGCTTGAGAGCTCAACACATTTTGGATGCTCTATGTGGAGAGGGGTCTGCTATAGCTACAGATCTCTTACATTTCCGCAGTGGTTAATTTGTGGCTAGGGGAAGATGTATGTCATGTCTGGCAGAATTTGTAGCGTCTGCACCTCTTACTCCGCTCCTAAAACCTGACAATGGAATCTATCCTATTGGTGTAGGCAATATATGGAGGCGTTTGGTCACAAAGGTTTCTATGAAAGGAGTTGGTAAAGAAATGGCACAATAACTTAATGACTTTCAATTTGGAGTAGGTGTGTCGGGTGGCGCTGAAGCTGTACTTCATAGTGTCAATAGGGTGTTGAGTGCACATCATGATGATGGATCTCTTGCAATGCTTACTGTGGATTTCTCGAATGCCTTCAATTTAGTGGTTAGATCTGCCTTACTTCACAAGGTCAGGATGAGGTGCCATTCCATTTCCTTATGGTTCGAATTCTTATATGGACATGCAACAAGGTTGTATTTGGGAGATAAACATATTTGGTCTACTACTTGGGTCCAACAAGGCGACCCTTTGGGACCACTTCTTTTTGCTCTTGTGTTGCACCCACTTATACATCAAATTAGAGACAATTGCAAGCTTCTTCTTCATGCTTAGTACCTCGATGATGGGACCGTCATTGGAGATTCAGAGGAGGTGGCCAGAGTATTAGACATCATTAGGGTGGCAGGCCCAGGATTGGGGCTTGAGCTGAATATCAAGAAAACTAAGCTATTTTGGTCTTCATGCGATGGTAGGAAGCTTCGTGCATGTTTATTCCCTGGTGACATTGGGCGACCGTCAGTGGGGGTAAAGCTTCTTGGGGGAGCTGCTAGTAAAGATGCGGGTTTTATTAGTGGGTTAGCCATGCAGAGGGTTGCCAAGGCTGTTGTTGATGCGCCTTCTACCACATTTACATGACCCCCAGAGTGAACTCATTTTGCTTCGATCTTGCATGGGCATCGCCAAACTTTTCTTTGGTCTGAGAACGTGCCAACCCGTTCACATGGAAGAGGCTGCTTTGTGTTTTGATAAAGGGTTACGTGGTTCGATTGAGGACATTGTGGTTTGCGGGGGTCCGTTCTTTGGGGACCTTCAATGGCGATTGGCTTCGTTACCAATTAGGCTCGGTGGTTTGGGGTTGTACTCAGCAGTAGAGGCTTCCTCTTATGCTTTTGTGGTCGTACGAGCTCAATCATGGGTGTTACAAGACCACATCTTACGAAATAGCGACATATGTGGTATGGATTCAGATTATGTTGGTGCTTTGGCCTGTCTTCGTGATACGATTCCAGGCTTTGATTTCAACAGTTTCACTAATAAGGACACCGCCCCTCCAAAAGCCCAACATTCATTGGCGAGTGCCATTTTTTGTAAAATTGTCCACGACATGGAAGTTCACTTCGACATGACGATTAGGAAGAAAGCAATTTTTGAGTGTCTAAGGGCCCAACATGCTCAGGATTTTCTTATGACTATTCCTATTGACGGTCTGGGCCAGCATATGTCGCCAGTGGAGTATCGTGTCATCCTCAAGTATCGCCTTATGATCCCTTTATTTCCGACTGACGAGACTTGCCCTGTTTGTCGCAAGGCATGCTTGGACTCCTTTGGGGAGCATGCAGTTCATTGTAAAGTGCTCCCGGGTTTCAAGTACCGACACGATCTGGTTAGGGATGTTCTTTTCGACATATTTAGACGCGTTGGGGTTTCTGCCAAGAAAGAGGCACCTGTGAATTTTCTGACTGACCCATAGGAAGGAAGATAAACACTTAGACCAGCTGATGTTTTAGTATTTGGATGGGCTGGAGGGAAACATGCATGCATGAATCTAATAGGGGTTTCCCCTCTTGTGGGCTTGGGGAGTGGGGTTTTCACTGTGGGCAAGCTGTTTTAAAAGCTGCATCAAGCAAAGTGGCAAAACATGAGAAAGCGTGCATGGAAAATCAACACATGTTTATACCCTTTGCATTTGATACTTTCGGTTTCCTTACGCCAGAAGTTGTGGAGCTACTCAATAGGGTCCAACGGTTCTTGCATAGTAATGTTATGACTCCAAGATCTATAGATGTTGTTTTTAAAATAATTAGTTTTGCCATCTAAAAAGGGGGTCGCGGCACAATTTTTTGCTCGTTTACCCGCTACGTCTATGTAAAAGTTTCTTCTTTATTTAATTTATCAATCCCCTAATAATACATATAAATACGTTTAAATGAAAAAATAATATTAAAGACATTTTTAAGGGTGAAGGTGGAAGGGATGGTGATGCTTTATTCTCACTTTGTATATGGTCATTTCATATTTGTTATTATTGTTTTTAATTCAGAATATTAACACTTAGTAATTTAAAAGAAGTTGCCTATTTTTAAAATTGTTTATAAATAGTGATTTTACGTCATGTACTATCAATATTATCATTAAATTCTTAGTTTTTTTGCTTATCATTCTCAACTTGTAAGCAAACATTTTTTATATATATTTTCTTGAATCGAGTTTGGGTTCGCAACTGGGATCAGATCAAGATTATGATTGGATCTGCTACCACATGTATTAGTGTATGAGCGTGTGATATGTGTGTAAGTATTTGAATTACAAAATGTGTGTTGCTCTTTTTCATTATCTTATTCTTGTGGATTTTTGGAAACATAACAGATGTACTGTGATAAAGCAAAACATGTCATATTATTTTTTATTAAACAAAATATTGTAATTAATACTTTTGAATTTTGATATGTGTTACCTATATAGATGTTTGTAGTGGATCTGTTGGATTTGAAAAAAAATTCTACCTTAAACAATTTTATATACAAAGTGAGAAATCATTCTACCTAAAACTATGTATAAACAATTTTACAAATATACTGATTCTTTTAAATTATTAAGTGTTAATATTCTGAATTGAAAATAATAATACATGTGAAATGACCATATACAAAGTGAGAATATATAAGCAATCATTCATGATTTTAATGCTTAAAGCATGACCATCCTCTCCACCTTCACACTTACAAAATGTTTTTAATATTTTTTTTTCATTTAAACGTGTGTGTATGTGTGTGTGTGTGTGTATATATATATATATATATATATATATATATATTATCAACAATATTAATAATAAAGAATTTAAAAAATAGTATACTTATTTATATTTTTAATAAAATAATAATGATAAAAACAATAATAAGGTTTTTATTTGCAGAAAAGTCATAATATTTTTGTTTGCAGAAAAGTCCAAATATTTTAGTTCAGTTTACGAAATAATCCCAAATTAATTTATTACCGGCTCCAACCGTTCAAAAAAGGGTCAACATGCAAACTTTTGTCGGATTTTATGACTTTTCGTTAAAAAAATAATAATAATTTAGGAGTAAAACGTAAACTGAGCCAAAATTTTCAGATTTTATTGAAGATTTCCCTAAAAGAAAGTACATGTTTTTGCGAGAGAAAGAAGATAAATCAATATCTTTAAGAATTAAGAGATATATAAGAGAAATCTATAAAGAATTTTGGGTCTTAGAAATTTTAATTGAACTTAGATTTTACATGAAAAATAAAATTTCCATCACATTAAATTGTTAGAAGTAACCACTATAAAGATGGCATAGTGGTGATCTCCATTATTAATAAAAACCTCTCCTACATGCCACGCGTCTCACTTATAGACCTCATTGTTTCCACGTGTCACTTTTACAGGTATCGTATCACTTTTTTCCCGCCTATTCTTTCACCGAGATCCATCCCTCAAATTTGAAATTGATTCTACCTATCTGTGATTGTAGCATGATTATGTGACTTCTTCCCCTCTTTCCTTACTAATCTCCTGAATTTTGGGATTCAATATTTTCAGTTCAAATTCTCCTTCGCCTTTTTTGAAATCTCGCTGAATGATTTATCTCTCATATTGATT